TTTCTAAAGATACCATTACAAACAATTTCAAAAAGGGGTAGAAGACAACAGAAGGAGCACTTGTGGGTTCACAAAAGGCTTAGAAATGATCTGAAAAAAGAACATGTATAAGAAGTGGACGGAAGGCCAGGCTACAAAGGAAGAACACAGGCAAGTAACATGGAGCTGGAGGGAAGGCATCAGGAAAGCTCAATCTAGGAATGAACTCAGGGATCCTAAAAGCAACAAAAGTCACCTTCAGATATGTCCATAGGTAAGAGGAAAGAAATGGGGGCTGAACTACTCAGTGTTAATGGCAAAATGAGAACAGATAGCAAAGAAAAGGCACAAGTGCTCAATCCCTACTTTGGCTCAGTCTTCCCCCAAAAAAGGACACATGACCTTCCTGATGAAGGAGCAGGACGGCAGCTCAAGATTAAGAGCCAAACAGGAAAGCATCCTCTAACTGGGTTGAATAACTTCAAATCTCCAGGGCCCACTGAACTCCATCCTAGAGTCATAAAAGAGCTGGCAGAAGAGCTTTCAGAACAAAATATAGTCCAGATAGAGCATAGTCTAGAGAATAGCGCAAGGGCAGGGATACCTTTGGAACAGGAGCAAGCGGGAGCCAGACACCAGAGAGAGCTTCAGCACACTAGACAAGGAGAGTTGCTAGAGCAGCTTCTGGAGCCACTTCTTAAATAGCTCCTCCCCCAGAGCTCTCAGGTGGTGCTCATGAAGGTCCTGGCAGCTGCTGCAGTCTGGGACCAATCCTTCAACTATCAGGGCTGTTATTCTGGCATTTGGCCAGCAGGAGGAGCCCTGAAGCTGCCCAGATCCTGACATGATGTTACCCAAATGTGTTTGTCCTTGAGGAGCTGTTGGTGTGTACCACAAGGAGCTCCAGGAAGTTGATATGCTGGCTTCATTCTTGGTCGCTCCGTAGTCCATGTGCTTCTCTGCCAGTGCAGTGTGCCCTCCCTCTCCATGGGGATGGAACCATCGTTATGGTCAAGTCTGGTTTCCTGGGGGTAAAAGCAATTCCATGGTAGGTAGAGGTGTATAGTCCACCAAGTGAGACTGGTCTGTACTGGTCTGCAGTGGAGCGCCAAGCATTTCCATTTGGAATCCCTGTGCTGATGTTAAGTACGAAGGAGCCATAACTGGAGAGAACTCTGCATCTTTCTTTCCTGAAGATCTTCCCTACAGCTACATACATCTTAGTAATTGCACACACACGAGCACACCTGTGCGCGCGCACACACAGGCCCAGTTTGCACAAAATTATAACCTACGGGTTGCCCCTGCTGCAGGCAAGGGGCGTGAGCGAGCTGCCTTGCCTTCCTTCTGGATCAGCTTTAGTCAACCTCACAGGAGTGCACTATTCTTAGTTTGCTTGTGAACCCCAAACACTGAGTTGTTGAGAGTTAAATAAGCCAGCATTTATCCCAAGAGCCCAGAATTGTGGTTTCTGGTGTCACATTGTTGATTAAAGATAATTGGAAGAAAAAAAGTGGGTGCAGGGAAGCAACGCACCTGCTACTTTGCTTATGGCCTCACTAACTAGTAGGCTAAACAACTCATGAATTGATGTTGTGTGTGAGTCAGGTCTCTGTGACCCAACTCACATTTGGTAACCCACAATTAAGAAAATGTGGGTGATTGAGAAGACAGGTGGGAACAATCCATGGATTTCAACTCTGGGTTGTTCTTAGTCCAGCAACCCATTGTTTCTGACTGGGATCTCACAATAAACAACCCATGAACAGTCCATCCCTGAGTTGCTCATTGCAGTGGGTGAAGACAAGAGCACAGAAACCAACATGCATACTTCTCATTTGTTCAACAATTCATGTGCAAACCAAGCGACACACACACTCTTACCAACCATCCCCAACCTGGCATGCTCAAATCTGTTCCTCTATGACACCTATTATCCCCAGCTACGTAGCTTAACCAAATGCCATGTTGTAGCCCAGCACATCTGGAGGGAACTAGATTGGAAACGATTTTAGGCGCAGAATCTAAAATTCAAAATGCGGGGGGGCAACATAGGGAGGAAAGGGAAATACTTGCTATGGAAAGCGGCTTTCTACAAGGTCAGCTGATTTGTCTACATAGTTCAGGATCGTTTGCACTGATCAGTGGCAACTCCCCTGGGTCTCAGGTAGAAAGAGTTCTTTTCCAACACCTGATCCTTCTACCTGGAGGTGCTGGGGTCTCACCCTGGGACCCACTGGATGCAAGTGCTTTTCTTCTCACTGAACTAAAGTCTCTCCCTTAATATGTATTTTGGCTTTTATTAAACAAAACCAAACCTTTTATCTTATTAAAATGGATGCTTTTCAAGCCTCTGCAGAAGCCATCAGAACCACAGATAACATCCTTCACGGACTGAACTCCCACGCGGATGCCTAAATCTGCATCTTCTCATCACGTGAAACACGTGGGAAAGCTGCCCTTGTGGACACGGGGCCCACTTCTAACTCTGCCCCAGCGCAAGTTGCCAGTTGGCCTAAGGCAGGCATGGCTGGAGGAGGATGCTCTCCCATCACCTGTCGGTTGCCATAGCTACATACAAGGGCCTTTTGTACAGGAGTGGGAAGTGCCTGCATCAGGAATCGCATTGGCTACCGGGGAGGGGGGAGGATTAATTGCCTAGCAACAGTTCACTTGATAGCATTCCATGCAAGGGAATGACAGGCAGAAACCCGCCTACAAGCTGGCCAGAGCGACACTTGCAGCATGCAGTGCGCGCGCTATTAAATGGCAGGCACTCAAGGATCTGGAGGGCCCTTGGGGAGAGGCTCTCAGCAGCCCCTTCCTCCAGCAAGTCTGCCTTCTCGCCACCCTTGTCACCAGCTGCTCTGGCTCCCCGCCATCTTCCACATCGTTGTTCCCCCTTGCCTGCCACTAAAGCAGAGTGCCGAGCAGCGACAACAGCGCCTGCTCCTCCTTACCAGCACCACCGTAGTCTGGGCCAGAGTGAGAGGCACATATACAAGTAGGCTGCACTGACTAGGAGCAGCAGCAATCCAGGGACCCTCATCAGCAGGCCCCTGCCAAAATGCCCCCCACCCCGGCAGCTGCCCAGCCCTGCCTACGCAACATCAAAAACTGCATGTTTACGGTACAGCAAATATATCTGAAGAAGGCCTAAACAAACACTTCCATCAAGGTTTCTTTACAACAGCCTTCTTCTCACTGGTGCCAGTGGCTGGGGATGATGGGATCTGTGCTTCCAAAACACTGTGCTAAGGGGAGGGGTCATGGCACAACAGCAGAGCTCCTGCCATGGACTCCAACCTGCAACGCTGAAGAGGTGCTGTGGGCAATATCAAGCTAACCGGGCCGAGGGCCTGACTCTGCATGGCGGCTCCCCAGGTGCCACATCTGGAGGGTGCCGGGTTGGGGAAACTCACTTAAGAAGAAGCGTATTGGCGAAGAGCGCGAGTTAGAGGACACGAGCCATTTGCCATGACGCCAGTAGATGGCCTGAAGAAAGCCACGCTCACAGCCTTCTCATCTGGGCCCTGGGTATAACAACATGAGTGACAGCGTCGTAAGGAGGACTCATACTGTGAGGCCCAGGATTTCGCAAGTGCTAAATAAATGACGATGGAACATTAGTACTAAAATACTTGCAGCCTGCCTGTCAACCGAGTCTCCAGAAGGGCATTCTACGAACAAGGCAAAAACACAGACATTATACAAAAAGCAAACCGCATGTTAAAGACACCCACAAACCCCAATTAGCAGCAGTGTTAATCACACCAGCAAACCGGAGAAGACGCTAAGGCGGGAGGTCCCTCGGGGGGGCCCTCTGGCAGGAAGTCACTGTAAAGAGCTCTGTTCTAAGAGATGGGGAACATGAAGCACGGGCCCCCGGCAAGACAGCGACACACACAATACAGCAGGGGCTAGGTGGCCTTGAGGGCATTGATTCGACAGGGAACGGTTGCAGCCCAGTGGCGGAGCCTCTACTTTGCAGGCACTGAAGTCCCCGGTTCAAGCCCAAGCATCTGCAGGCAGGGCTGCAAGAACTCCCTGAAGAGCTGCTCAGTGCGGACATAACTGAACTAGATCAAGCAAGAGCCTACACAGGCGCAGAACAGCTTCCTATGTCGTTGCAATGGGAAAGCAGGTTCTTGCTCATGACCCAGGGAACTCCAGCGAGCTGAAGGCAAGCACGCACCTGTTTTGCCCACCTCACTCGACAATCCAGGATTCAGGCCAGATCCAAACTTCATCAGCCTTAGAGATCTCCCACCCAAGTACTAACTGCCTGACTGCATAGGTTCCCCCACCTTTTTTTCTATGTATGTGCTTGTTTTTGCTTCTTTGGTATTCTCAGCAGTTTTATGATTTTTGTTTTGTTGCAAGATCGTACAAATCAAATAAAGTTATAAGAAGGAAAATGGGTCAGGATAAAAGTTGAGTTACTTGCCCAAGTAGCGAAGTACAAGCCAGAGCTGGAATCTGAGCTCCAAACTTCTCTTTTGAAGCAGGTAAAGAGGATGGTGGTGAGCAGTGCTTTGTTGTGGAGCTTGTGTTCCGATTGAAAACGATACCTAACACAACTCAAAATAAAAATCAGGAGGGTGACGGAACCTGGTAGGTGACATGAGAGAGGAAGAGCTGAGGACTTGAGAGTGAGAATAAATGGTAATTTCTCCCAGTGGAGGGATGTAAAGTGGGGGGTTGGATGGCAATCTGTGCTATGACCTATGTTCTTCAATTTAGTCGTAAGTGATCTGGAATTAAGAAGCAGCAGTGAAATGGCAAAATTTGCAGATGATGCCAAATCATTCAGGGCTTCCCTAATGATGAATTTATTGGCTGGAGGGCCATCACAGTGTGATGCTGAGGGTGTGTGACTGAGGACGTGAGAGATCCTGGTTTGTGCTGCCATGCTCAGCCATGTGTTTGGGCCAGTCACTTACTCCTCATCCCAACCTACCTCCCAGAGTTGCTGTACAGAATAACATGGAGCATCAGCATCATCCAGAGCTACACATAGGTGAATTTGTTATCTGTAGGTGCATTTATTGGAAATGTAAGAAAATTAGTACGTGTAATTGTCACATTTGTTTCCAAGTATGCAAAATTGTACAGCTACACTAAGAGCCTTGTCCTTCAATCTCCCATCAACCTTACCCAGCATGGCTGACTTAAGTTCCACACCCTTCAATGACACATTTATCCAATGGTGCCTTGGGGCAGAGTTATGATTTAGTGAGTGCAACATAATGCACACGATAATCAAGAGGGGAAAACCCCTTTCCCGTGAGCAAAGGACCCCCACGGTACCTGGCTGTTGTTTTAGAAAGTGATCCCATATCGAAAACAAAATTTTGACAAACTACAAGGATTACAAATTGAATTTATGAGGCAGAGGGGTTATTTTAGCTAACATAAATGTACAAACATGTGAAATTGGCAGTTTGGTCTGAAATTGTGGTGACTGGACACAGACAATTCAGGCTGATGGGAAAATATTAACCACATCTGCATGCCTGTGCACACATGAACACGCCTTTCTTGAGAAAGGCTTGGATGGCAAACCTCATGGATGAGGCAGAAAATGTGGAATTTGTAAAAAAGGAAAATTTAAACCAAGTCAAATGTACTCCTGTCATTGAGAGGTACAGATGGGACATCCCTTTCTTCTATGCTGCCATGCCAGGCAGCTGTTCTATGTCACCAAGTACTTAATTTGAAATTGAACAGAGAGCTGAAAATATGGCAAAGGTGGCTGAAAGAATATAGGACACTCTGTAATGTCCACGTCCTTGTGCTATCAATCAAAACTTCCTCTTCTTGACACCAAGGAGAATAATCTTAAAGATTGTCATTCCCTCTGTCAACTAAATTACTTTGCAGCTAGAGAAGTTGGGTGGCTGCCACCTTTGGCTGCACACAGATATTCGTGGAGAAGCATCTGAGCAGTAGCAGCCTCTCCATGAGGCTCTGAGGGTCTTTCATTTATCTTTCTTTAATTCAGTGGTCCAGAAATCTGTAAGAAACAAGAGGATGAAGGATGACATTTACATGACACCCAAAGCCAATGGATGGAAACAAAATCTGCAAAAGGGGGAGTATCCGGCTAGACAGCTAAAGTAGTGTTAAAATCAATTCACTGTACACATTTTTAGCAAATTTGCAAATGGCTGCAGGATGTTTTGAGGGCACAAACAGTATTTTCCTTGCATTTAGAGGAGCAACATGTGATGCCTTGGAAGATATTCCCAGCGGTGCATGTGAGAAAGGAGAACACATTTTAAGATGGCCCTGGCCACCAGTCGCCTATAAAAAGAACTGGTGCTGCAAAAGAGAGCCAGTGTGGTGTAGTGGTTAAGGGCATGGGACTGGAACTCGGGCGATCTGGGTACTAGTCCCCGCTCAGCCATGGAGCCAACTGGGTGACTTTGGGCCAGTCACAGACTCTCAACCCAACCTACCTCACAGGGTGGTTGTTGTTGTGGGGATAAGATGCAGGAGGAGAATGATGTAAGCTGCCTTGAGCCCTTTGTAGGAAAAAGGCAGGACATAAATTGGGCAGGGGGGGGGGAATGGATGGTGCTGCTGTTTAAAAACTGCTGTCCAGTTTCCCACTTTTTAAGGCAACCAACAGTGTGATCCTGTACTTTTAAACTTAAACCATTTAGAGGTTTATACGTTAAAAGCTTTATATTATATTTTCCCACTCTGTGAACCATCCAGGGAACTTTGTCTACTGGGCGGTGCAGAAATGCAATAAACAAATGGATATGTTCCTTCTCAGAAGTGAGACCTACTGAACTCAATGAGACTGATTCCCAGGTAATTTCACAAAGGAGCTGAGTTTAACTAGTGTTAAAAATCATGCATTACTATAACCATCTATTTAGACAGAAAAATGACCTATAGTGTGAGCCAGTGTAGTGTAGTGGTTAAGAGTGTGGGTCTGGGACTCAGGCAAACTCAGTTCTAGTCCAACTAGGGCCAACTGTGAAGCTGGGGCTTCAAGAGGGCCAACTTTGGCCAGCTGAAGGCCAGACTGGGGAAAGTCTCCTGGGATAGGTTAGTGGAAGGCAAGCGAGTTGAGGAGGGGTGGATGGCACTCAAAAGGGAGGTTTTGGAGGCGCAGGCCTTGACGATACCTAAAGCTAGTAAGGCAGGGAGGCGAAGGACAGTGCCGCTATGGATGCAAAAGGAGGTGGTAAGAGGGATTAGATGCAAGAGGAAATTCTGTGGGAAATGGGCACTGGGGCAAATAGACAAAAGGGTATACCAGGAAGAGGGGGCCCAGTGCAGAAGGATTCTTTGCAAGGAACACAGTGGATGTGGTTTACCTGGATTTCAGCAAGGCCTTTGACAAAGTGCCCCATGATATCCTGGTGGAGAAACTGAGGAGATCTGAGATAGACCAAAGCAATGTCCGATGGATTAGGGCATGGTTGACTGACCGAAAGCAGAGGGTAGCCATTAGTGGGGAATCATCAGAATGGCAGCCAGTGACAAGCGGGTCCCCCAGGGCTCTGTCCTGGGGCTGATCCTGTTTAATCTTTTCATTAACAACATGGAAGAAGGGGTGAACAGTCTGCTGATCAAATTCGCAGACGATACTAAAACGGGGACAGTGGCCACAACTGAGGAGCAGGTTCTCCAGATCCAAAAGGATCTGGACAGACTATGGAGGTGGGCAGGAGACAACAGCATGGCGTTCAATGTGGATAAGTGCAAGGTCTTGCACTTGGGGCATAGGAATAGCTGTCATAAGTACAGGTTAGGTGATAAGTGGCTGGACAGCAGCACTTGTGAAAGGGACCTCGGGGTACTGGTTGACTGCAGGCTAAACATGAGTCAGCAGTGTGATGCGGTGGTCAAGGGGGCAAACGCCATCCTTGGTTGCATAGCCAGAAGTGTGGCTTCTAGATCAAGAGAGGTATTACTACCACTCTACACAACTCTGGTGTGCCTGCAACTGGAATATTGTGTTCAGTTCTGGGCCCCTCATTACAGGAAGGATATAGCCAGGTTGGAATTGGTGCAGCGTAGGGCCACAAGGATGGTGGCCAGATTGCAGGGGAAGCTGTATGAGGCGAGACTGAGAGAACTGGGTCTTTTCAGCCTGGAGGAAACTCTGAGAGGATCTGTTGGCAACATATAGGTACGTGAGAGGGTGTCACATGGAGGTGGGTAGAGACCTGTTCTCCCCTGCAAAGGAAGGCAGGATGTGCTCTAATGGAGCAAAGCTCAGGGAACCAAGGTTCAATTTGGATGCCAGGAAGTACTTCCTGATGGTTATGACCCCGAGGGTATGGAATGGGCTTCCACAGGAGGAGGCTGAGGCCCCATCGGTGAGGGTGTTCAAGGATAGGCTAGACTTGCACATGGTAGGCATGTCTTGAGCAGAACCGGCTAAAGCCAGGGGTCAGACTAGATGGCCCGGGAGGCGCCTTCTGACTTGCTCTGCTTCTATGTTTCTAACTGGGTGACTGGGCCAGTCACATACTCTCAGCCCAATCTACCTCACAGGGTTGTTACTGGGGGAATAAGATTGAAAGCAGCAGGAGGAGAATGATGTAAAGCGCTCTAAATTCTTTCTTTGAAAGGCAGGATCTAAATCTAATAAATGCAATAAAAATATAGGTCTCAGCCTGCTCAGGTCAACAAATCTTTTTTAAAAAATATGCATAGGATAATACCCTTACCTGGTGAAATACTGCAAATCCTAGAATATACCCAGTGGATACAGCTAAGACCTCCTTGACTGCCGGGACCTTCGGATTAGCTTGCTAAGCAAGAATCCTACTTGCAGCACAACCAATTTCCTGCCTGTCTCCCTGAGACTAAGTCCCACTTTGCTTCCCGGAAACTCAGTACAGAACTGCAGCCATGCTTTCTCCTCTTACATAACAGCTGTTAAATAACAGCGTATCTCACAGAATATGTTCAGCCCGGGAATTCGTTTCCAGTAACAGCCCCAATTTTGGAGTCCTTTCAGCACAAAAGCCACTCCAGATTTTCCCCTAAGTTCTCTTCATTTCAGCAGCCCTGTTTGGGCAAGGGAAAAGCATTACTGACTAGCTGTGGCTACAACTGGGGGCCGGCATCTTTTGTGGATCTCCTGTAAGCCACCTTGCGATAACTGCACGGAAATTCCCAGCACAAGAGAACATCACACAGCACGGATTTTCGCCCAAAGCCGGAAGAGTGAGCATTTTTCTGACTCAAGGACCTTTTCTGGCTATCTAATCCCACAGAGCGGGAAAGAAACATCACCTAGAGCTTAGCAGAGTTTGAGGCAATACCCAACAGTGACGGGAAGTTGTTCGCAGAGGTCATCCAGCTCCCGCCGTCTATCACCAGCGTTGTGCCAGTCACGTAGGAGGACAAGGGGCTGGCCAGGTACAGGACGCCATGGGCAATCTCCGTCTTATTCCCTGCCCGCTGAAGAGGGATCGTTTTGTAGAGGTTTCCTTCCTCCAGCTGAGGGGGTACTGAAACAGATGGAAGGACGGAAATTCTTTAGCCATTTAGGAAGAAACGAGAAAGTCAAAGGGGGACAAATGACAATCAGTCAATACACCCCGCAAAGTAAACGTTTCTTTCCCCGTAACGAACAGTGCCCTAGTCCTCGTGGCCCCAGATCTGGGAAGGTGGTTGCAATGCACATGACCCTAATGGCTCAGAACCGGAACTGGGCAGCAGCATTTCTGTCCTGCTTTTCCTATAAGGAGAGAAAGACTGGGTACGTGGTTCCCTTTCCCCATTTCATCTTTCCAGCCATGCCATGAGGCGGGCTGGACGAAAGGGCAGCAGTCCAGTCCACACACACTTGTTCCATTTCTTTCAACCCTCAGGGACCAAGCAAGAGGCAATGTATTCGTCTTCCACCCTGCTCCTCCACAGCCAGTGAGAGCACCTAAGCTACTCAGGCACGCGACATCCCTGGGCTTTTAGCATTACCTCTCAAATCTGGAACCTGAGAAGAAACCCTTTGCTCCAACTCTGGTTTTCTGCAGAAGAAACAAGCTGGAGTTCCAGGTTTGAAAGCCCTACTAAAGTTCGGGATGTAGCATTCCTGGGTTGTTTAGCCTCCGTGCTAGGAGGAGGCAGCAAGTAAGACCAGTCAAGCAACAGGGACTGGCATGCTTTCTCACTCTTTGTAACCCAGAATTACCCAAAACCTGGGTTACTGCTGTGTACAAGCTGGGCCCGTCACTAGCCTAGATTTAGTAAACCAGATTGTGGTGCCTTCTGAGTGTTAAGCCATCAGGTGACCTTTGATAATCTGAAACTGAAAATACTGGCAGTGCTGGTAGGAGGCGGCTTGGGTGCTGACTAAAGGGAATTGGCCTTTTCAGCGCTCGAGGAGACGGTGCTTCAAGGCGACTCTCCAAGCCAGACCGTGGGGACTTGGCCACTGCTCCGCACCAGGCCTCCTTGCCTTTGCTACACCACTGCCAGGTTCCACTCGGCCACCATGCAGAGGATCCATTCTGCAGTCCTGCCTAGGCTCCCATGCCTGGCAGGCTTCCAGAAAGCACCCCATCTCTTGCCTGTGCCAGTGGCTACCTGGGGTGGCAGAATTCAGAAGAGACCAAAGACACCACAGTTTTCCGCTTTGTTTGTCTGAAGAGATACTCAGTCACCTCGTCCTGACAGATGCCTGCTGGCGGAGATATAAACTGGTTTTTTGGTCCTAAGGATTGCATTTCTGTAAGCTTCAAGCTTTCCTCAAGTCTGCTGCTACCTCCCTCATGTGTGGACGGGGCTGCTTCGCCTACAGAAGGATCAGCACTCACGGAATAAGGTCCTCTGTTAGCATACAGAATGCCCAAGCGCTTTCTGAGAAAAAGGAAAGCAGGGCCCTGATTGGTTGCAGGGTAGGAGGATACTTTGGGCACTCCCTTCACCGCCAGATGATAAAGTCACCGTTGATAGTTCCTGCTTGCTGAATGAAGGTTATTTGTTCTTATAACTTACAGCCTGTGGGCTGGATGCAGCGCCCCCACTGCCTAATTGAGCCTCAGCTGCTACCCCACTGAACTGCTGCTGAAAGTCAGTGGAGCAGCAGCTGCGGAAAAACACTGATTTTCCTGTAGAAGAAAGGCATGTGCGCTGTTCGTATCTTTCTTTAAACCACATCACCCTGCCAGAGGCATCATTGGAGCTTTAGAACAAAATGTGCACCCCATGCATGCCTTTTTAAGGGAAAATCAGCGGCAAACCTGGACTCGCCACAGCTGCAGATGGTACAGCCCCTGCTAGGTCCCAGGCAGAGGGGCTGACCCTTGGACAAAAAGAAACTGTTCACCTCTTTTATCAATCAAGGATGATGTAGGAATGTTTTAAATAAATTATGGGTAAATCAGATGCAGAGGTGCATCACACCACAGATTCTGCCATCAGAATTCCACCCCTCACCTAGACGCCGATGTCCCTCTGTGCCCAGAATGGGACCCGGTGCCAGGCTGTTCACTCTGATTTTGTTCGGTCCCCATTCCACAGCCAGATGTTTTGTCATTGCATCTGTGAAGGGAGAGACAGGCAGATTCAATTAAAAAGAGTTGGCAAAGGAAGGATGGATGAAGAATATTAGGCTTAGAAAGGGCTGAAATGGCAGCGAGGCACATCAGCTCTACATTTCAAAAAAAACACTTGCTGTATCTGGAAGCAGTTTCCCTAAGATATTAGAATGGAATTCTGGCATGTTGGAGAAATAGCATGCACGTGTTGCAGTATTAGGAAAACCAACAGAATTTCAGAACTTTACAAAAGCAAAAGCCACGAAGAATAAGCCCACCACCCAGAAATGTCTCCAAAACCAAAGGGCTGTTCAAAACCCAGTGAGATTTCCAAAAGTCGGGTTTCAGTTAAAACTGTAGAAATGTAAGGTATGCAGAACAGGCAATAGGGTATGATTACATGTGCCGGCAGATCCCTTTAAGAACAAGGGGCAGGGCAGCCACAGCCTAGAGGCAGCCCTGCCAAGATTAAGGTCTGCAGCCTATCTTGGAGCAGCATCAGACTGTGAGATGTTCCACAGCCCCTACGTGGAATTTCAAGTGGATTTTTATATGCACTTTCCAAAACACATGGTCTTTCCTTATGCATGACCTACTGTGCACCGTCTCTACTGCATGCATTGTCCCCACTGACTTAAGCTTGATTTGATTTATTTGGAAAGGTATGCTTTTTTATTCATGAGCATTTTAAACTCTGAAGCACACTTTTTTCCTGCAAACTACACTGCAGTCTTGTAAATGAAAGGACTCCCAAGGCAAGAACTGTTCAGCTGGCAGTTGTGGACTGTGTGAAATGATTACTTTTGCACTGGATTGTGAACTTGATAGATTTTGCACCCATCTCTGGCCAAGGAAAACGTTTAGCATGGGATAAAGGGGCAGGCCTTGCCGTATCACCATTACTTGAGGTGAAAGCTGCCACTGCGTGTTTTCCAGAATGAAAGAGGTGCCAAAATGCCGTCACTCTGAGGGAAGCTCATAAAAATATCCTCCAGCTGGATAAGGATGCAGAAGAAGACAGGAAACACAGTGGATGGAGTTCCACAGTACCTATGGCTGCCTTAGCTGTCCCAGCATGCACTTGGAGAGCCTGGCCCTTGTAGCTTAGGGTTGCGGTGATGTTTACAATGACTCCTCCACGGTCCTAGATCAGCAAAACAAGAGTCAACTCAGGCGACAACACCAAAAGTATCAACAGCAAGTACAGGAGACGGGACAGCAAAGGAATAAAAGGCAAAAGGAACTCAGCATTCAGGAGCAGCGGCACCAACACTCTGCTGATTGCTAAGTGTTACACAGCGGAGCCAAACGGAAAATAAGATGCAACCCGCAAAGGAGGTTGGTGCTTTTTATGTCCTCCATTACAGCTTTTATTCTGCGCTAGCAGCTCTCTACAGGGGCAAACCTATTTGAGAGATGGAGGGCGGCACCACAGCCCATTCCTATGGAGCTCAAAAGAAAAGCTGCCGTGGATGAGAGGCCTCCTTTGGCAATCCCAGTTTTGCAGCGTTTTGTACGTCATCATGCCACACCTGGCAGTGAAATCCAGTGCCATATGAGTAAGTATCGTCTGACCATGTGCCATGTGACTAAGGGCACGATTTTCTGGGGAACGTGGGAGGGAGGGTACTGCTGTGCTTGCGGGGGGTGCTGCCCGCAGGAGCAGGCAGGCAGCCAGCCCTCAGGCTGGACAAGGTGGATGCTGCGTCTGATGCAGCACAGCTGTTCTTATGGAAAAAGAACGGTGTGCCCATCAAAGCATTTGCAGCCTCTCGCTGATTTAACTGTTCAGATCGCAAAAGGAATGATGTCATCCCAGCAGCCTGTCAGGAAAAGCAGGTGCTGCTCCGCCTGCTTTCCTGAACACACTGCTGCACTTGCCAGCGACTCGTGCCCGGCTTCTCCCACACATGGACGTGGGCCACATTGGCACAGTGCCCTCCTGCAACACGAGGCACCCCTTTCAACCACGTCCCATAAACACAGGCACACACTGGTGGATGGGAGATGACCGCACGCAGGAAGAGGCCTGCCCCATACTGCAGACTGACAAGGGGGCAAAAGTGAATGGGCCATCCATTGGATCTGTTTAGCTCTACTAATCAGCGTATTCACCAGCTCCTTGCTCAAAAAACCTGGGAAATAATTCTAATAAACGTTTCTTGCATCCATGTCTCCTATGTTCCTATCATCCAGATTATACAGTAGTAAGAAAGCAACTAGAAAGGGCAATTGGAATGACAGCAACACATTTCTCGGGTCCTTATACTTTAGCCCTGCACTGTCTCAAAGTGAATTGAAGCAGTCCTGGACTAGGTGAGCAAGGACCGGCAGGGAACCAGGAGTCCGTCATTTCGATGCTAGTGCTGTGACCCCAGAGTCAGTAGGAGCAATGACCAGGGATCAGAAATGTGGGCCCATCCAGATGCTGCGGGTCTGCACCACAGCCTACTGCTGAGGGATCATGGGAATTGCCACCCATGAACATACAAGTGGCTATACATTCCTCCATCCTGCAGTGCACAGCCAACCCAGAATGCAGCAGTTGAAAAATGCATGGGTCCCCAGCAGGCCCCCACAACCTGTGCTCTCTAGATGTTTTGGCTTTCTACTTCCATCATCCCCAGCCAGCACGGCCAGTGGCCAGGAATCCTAGAATATCTGAAGGGCACCAGGGTGGGGAACGCTGATCCACAGGGAAGGGCTGCTGGGCCAGCCCAATCTGTCACTCGTGGGCCTTTTGCAGGAGGAAAACTTACGCGAAGGCACTTGTCGTACAGGACTTTGGAGACATTGAAAGTTCCCAGAGTGTCGATCTCAATCACAGTTTTGTAGGCATTGAAGGACAGAGAGCTGGCTGGGCACAGGAAGTTGCCAGCAGCGTCTGAGGAGAAAGATTGGGGTCACTGCAGAGGATGACAGCCAGACCAGCACAGGAGCTCAGGCCCACACCAGGAACAGCAACTGTGACTCCAACTTTCCCCAGGGCGGTGCTTTTCAGATGTGTTGGACTGCAGCTGCGAATGCGGGGAGCTTCAGTCCAACACCTCTGGGAGGCTGACCGATTACATAAATTCGAACAGCCCTCCCAGCATCCAAAACACCTGCCCTTCTAAAGCACCCACCAGTGACCATTTCCTCCTGGCCTAAAACATGAATGCAGATGGCCAATGCTCCACAGAATACCAGTTCCCAAGAACTCACTGTTAACAAGGATATCTATCCTCTCAAACGCCTTTAGGCCCTCATCCACAGCTGCCGTGATCATCTGTGGTTGCCTGACATCCATAGAGAGGGGGAGACATCTCTGTCCAGTGGCTGCTGAGAGTTTCTGGGCAGCCTGGAAAAAGAAGTAGAGAGATCTGGCCTGAAAGGTGACCAGCACCTTCTGCAACCGACTGGCACAAGAGCATCCGCACGGGCAGCTGGCATCACATTCTCCCCATGCTCAATATTGGTAAGCCATGCATGGGGCAGCTTTGCCCATCTGCAGCTATGTACTGTGATCTTTACAAAAATTCTTCTAAGGGTTTCATACAAGCTTCTTCAGCAGGCAGAGCGGCTGCAAGACATTTCACTTTGCCTGCAGCAAAGATGGTGTGCTTCTCCCGATACTGGCATAATATTAATTACTGTACTTCTAGCCAACCTTATTCCTGCAAAGAAACCAAGGCAGCTTACAAAGTCCTCCTCCTATTTTATTTGTGAAGTAGGTTAGGCTGAGATTTAGCCATTGGCCTAAAGGTACCCAAGTGAGTTTCGTGACTGGGTGGTGACTAGAACCCAGATCTACCAAGTCCAAGGCCAACACTGTAACCACTACACCACATGGCTCTCTTGGTGCATCCCTCTACAAAGGCCGAATGGAATGACCCCATGTCCTATTTCGGCACTGACAATAACAATCCTGTTATTATTCTATTTCACTGCTATAGTGCCCCAAAGCTGGAGCTCTCTGGGTGGTCCACAGCAGTTCACATAAACTGCACAGGCCGCTTCCTCACTGCACCTCCCCATCTACCCCCCAGCCACTGAAAATGCCACCCTTCCTGCAGGTTCCAAGGTTTTGCTAGGATGTGTGGGAATCACACATGCCCCAATTTACCATTGTTGCGACGGAGCAGGAACAGAACTTCTGGTCCTTTGAGGTTCTCCAGATCATAGCTCCTTCTCCTCTCCCACTTCCTTCCTCCCCAACCAACAGC